ACTGTTTGAAAACTCTCTGTAGAGCTCCTTGGGAATCTTCTTCTGTGGAGATTTGTAGTGAAGATGCTCGAGAGTTCATCGTTGGGCTTGCTGACAACATTGGGCTTCCAAAGATAGATGCTGCTAGGATGGTTTCTGCTGCTGTTGCTGCACGCACACGTTCATGGTTTCTACAAGCTTGGGTAGCTTTATGTTGCTTCTTCTAGTACTCGTTTTACTGCAAACTTGCATAGATGATCACAGTATATGATAGTGAATCAGACACTAAAGAATACCTTTTTGTCCTGAGCAACTCTATGTTAATGCAGGCTCTGGAAATACAAGGTAAACCTTCTGAATCAGTGGCAGAACTATCGAAAATATGCCTCATTCATCGCATATTTCCTCCTGAGGAGTACTCTGTATGTGTTTCCCTCTTTTATTCTCAAGTTTTCACCATTCGCTTTCTAATTGTTTTCACACACTCACTTGTGTACTGATTCCATCAGGCTGAGATGGAAATGGTTGCAAGAGGGCTGGAGAAACTCATGAAGCTAGAAGAGAGACAGTCTCTAATGAAGACGTTTGTGGGAATGTGTTGCAGTGAAGAGAGTCAGAGAAGTGCTGCTGAGGCTCTTGGTTTGATTCACTCATAGTTAGATTATTTCTTCTACGCCAATTTTTCAACTTCTTAGTAACATTTTAAAACCAGTTTCATACACTTGTGTCATAATGAACTTAACATAATGGTTATTAATCAGATGATAAGTTATTGAAACATAGTCCTAGTATAGTGTCTTGAAGTGACTCTTTGAAGAACAAAAGCTTCAGATAATGTATGATTAATGACATTGTAATAAGATTCATTTGGATCAAAAAAGGTTTTTTCATATGTTTGGGTACATTTGAATTGTCTTCCATCTCCATCAACTCAAATCCAACTCATCTCTTTCGAATGCCTTCTAATGAATCCAATATGCAAGAACCGCAAAGAAAGATAAAAAAAAGCTTTGTCTATGAAGAGCAGTAGCTGTTCCTGAAGATTTTAATAGGGTTGAAGAGCTTTTTTACTACAATATTCATGTTTTTTTGGTCTAAACTCGGCTTCATATTACACACACAACGCTGCAATTGCTGCAAGCTATTGTGTACGATCAAGCACACAAGCTTTAGCTTTAAGAGGTTCTCAACTGATTATAGAATAGAGACATTCTAATTTTTTTAAGAGGGCAAACAAGAATTTTGAAGCAAAATGTCTCTCTCTTTATACTATTGTTCTCAGTGAGACGTGGGGGAAATGATCCAAAAGGATTTATTTAACTGAATTATCTACAATTAGTATTGTTCCATGATCAAAACCACTATCGTCTTTTGAATACATTGTACCATTCCATCTCATTTGATTGGTTATAGCCTTCACTTTGACAAGTACATCTAAACTGTCCCTAATTATAACAGCTCCTTCTGGTCTAAGAATCCTCTGCATCTCCAAGAGTATATCAACAATGTCACATCTATTACAATAACCCAACAAAAAAAATATATCCATTAAACACCTTACTACAAAAAATGTAAATCAAAGTTTTATGTTACAGAAAGAGATCTTACTTGTCCATGTACAAGCTGAACACACCAATGGCATGAATCAGATCATAGGTTCTAGGATATGTAGAGAAAGCTTCACACCTACCAAAAAAAACCGAAACACGGTCAGTATAAGAGAGAACAAATTAGATGATATCAGAAACGTTTTTGAGATGTTTTACCAGTTCATGTAAGTTCCAATGAGGCCACGGTCGAATACAACACCAAGTGTGTTTGGTTTAAGATCAAAGGGGACCACATTCATCACCCACATTGGATATTTGATCAATGCTGCAGCAAAACCACCTAAATCAGCATTCATATCCATGATGTTTCTGTATTTTCCATTGCTGAGAAACTTTAACTTAGTGTCATAGTACACAACTATTCTCTGCCACAGGTTAGTGTCAGCTTTGAAGCTGGAAATAGTCACTCCATGTCGCTCAGGCATCTGGTTTAGTCTCTCAGGCCAGTTTCTAAGAACGGTTTGGTGTGTGTCATTGACATTTGGAAGAGGAGCGATGCACGGCTCCATCTCTCTATACCTATTGTTAAAAAGATGTAACTGAGTCAAGCTTTAGCTTCTGAATGCAGAAGAGAGTTTAAGTTGTTAGGAAGTAAACTTACCATGCAGCGTCAGCGTCACTAGAAGAGCAGAAACCAGGAAACATAAGAGCTTTTAGTCTTTGTCTACACTGAAAATGATTAGACGGCTTTCTCCATATGACAACTGGGTGTCTTTCAGCAATCTTCTCCCAACAAAGACTTCTAAAAACATCATTTAGTTTCTCCATCTCCTTCTGTAAATCCCTCTTCTGGTTCTTGGATTTAGCCATTGATGCTACAGGTGGTCCAGAAAGCACCCAATATCCACCAGGACGTAGAACACGATCAACCTCCATTAAGTAAAGCCCATCTGAATCAACCAAAAGGTTAAAACACACACACAGTGACCTGATACAGAAGTGTTCAGATCCATAGTTATTATAAACACATTACCATAGGCAGTCCAATTGACAAGGCACCTAGAACAATGGACCATGTCGAAAGACTTTGATGGGTAAGGTAGTTTATAAGTGCTTAGAACACCGAGCATAGAAGGGAGTCCACGTTCTAATGCAAACTGAACTTGAGCCTCATGTATATCCCTAGGTGCTATTGACATTGTCAAGATGTTATGGTTAAGCAAAAAGGCTCCAAAACTCGCTACCTGACACATTATTAATCCATAAACACTGCAGTCAAATATCAAAGAATAATAAAGTTATGGTTTCTAGTTTTTACTCATGTAACTGAACTCACTCCACATCCAACATCAAGAACAGTTCTGATACTCCCAGAAGCTAATGGCAAAACCTTCATAATCACATCAACATAGTCCTTAACGCCACCGGGAAAAGAAGTCCCTCCTCCGGGGAAAACAAAGCGGTCTCCTTCTAGCCTTATCCAGTTCTGACTCTTTTTAAACTCAGTCAGCTTCTTGAAGGGTACGTTCTTGAACCAAGCGTAGTTTCTACTATCAGGCCAAGGGAAAGGCGTTTTGTAGCCGGAGGGCTTTGGGACCAAACACCTGAGCTTCTCATGGGATGAGTCAGGGCAGTGCCTCTCTCTCCGGTAGTGTCTTTCAATGCTGTATTGTCGTGCTGTAGATGGATCGTGGCAGGGCAAGTAGTTGGTGAAGTTCTTCGGACAGAGTGGAAAGTAAGACAATGATGATGATGATGATGGTGCTGGTTGGTTCTCTGAAGGTTCTGGAGGAGAGGAGTGATGGGACATGGAAGGTTCTTGAAGAGAGGAATGATGGGGCATGGAAGGTTCTTGAAGCTGTGGATGATGATGCTGAGGATCTTGGGAAGAAGAGATAGTGATGGTTCTGATAGTGGTTAAGATGTAATAAAGAGAGAAGAGTAAGACTAGAGTGAAGAAGAATATACGCTTAGAACATGGCTTTAGTAAGTGTTGTTGTGATGGATTCATCCTTCTTCTTTTTTTTTTTTTAGAATTTTCTGCAATTAGGTTTCAAGATTAGAGAAGACAAGTGTATGAAGTATCATTTTTAGTTTAGAAGTCAAAGACTCATCTCGTTTTCTGAAATGGAATCCTCACCTGTACTTTGTCTTCATTAGTGGTCATCAACATGGATTTATTTATTTATTTATGGAGTTCCATACTCTTTAAACATTTTGATACTAATAAACATTTGCATTAAAAAATATAGTATCTACAGTAGAGTATTCATACAAAATTAAGAGATGTGTTATAATGTTAAGTACATCAAGAAAGCTTTAAACTACAATCTTGCAGGACTATGATGCTCTAGTGGTCATCAGCAAAAAAAAGAAGAAGACAAGAGCCTCGTTTTTTTTGCATCAACATTCAAGAATATTGTCTCCATGCAATGTGATTACAAACGGTCATACCATTTTTCAGACATGTGAAACTGATGTAATTGTTTCCTCAAGAAAACCAATAGAAATGAACTTAAATTACACACGCACACAAATGTAGTCATTGATGGATATGTCAGAGAGAGAGACAAACTATACATAGCAATTAGAAAATGATCATAACTTGCACCAAAAGAATTCAAAGTTATAATATCCATTCTTCTGAAACAATATTTGTAGAAAGCATAACAGACAAGAGAATGTTATGAATGAACAGTGACCTTGATTGCAGTTTCATTGTTATTGCGAGTGCAAATTACAAACTAGAGAAACCTTACCATGCATCAGTCCATGTCAAGTTGTTCAAGTTATCCGTCTTTTCATTAGTATTAGAGGTCGAGATCACAGTATAACCCAAAAAGATTTTTTTTTATTTAACTGAATTATCTACAATTAATATAGTTCCATTATCTTCTTCTGAATACATTGTACCATTCCATCTCATTTTATTGGTTATATCTTTCACTTTGATAAGTACATCAAAATTGTCCCTAATTATAACAGCTCCTTCTGGTCTCAAAATCCTCTGCATCTCCAAGAGTATATCAACCATGTCACATCTATCACAAGAACCAAAACAAATATTGTCTATCACCACCAAGAATGTAAACCAAAATCCCAAGTTACAGAAAGAGATCTTACTTGTCCAAGTAAAAACTGAACAAACCATTGGCATGAATCAGATCATAGGTTCTAGGATATGTAGAGAAAGCTTCACACCTACCAAAAAAACCCGAAAAACAACGGTATAAGAGAGATCACAATTAGATGATATCAGACAAGTTTCTGAGTGTTTTACCAGTTCATGTAAGTTCCAATTAGGCCACGGTCAAACACAACACCGAGTGTGTTCGGTTTTAAATCAAACGGGACAACATTCATAACCCACATTGGATATTTAATCAATGCTGCAGCAAAACCTCCTAAACCAGCGTTCATATCCATAACGTTTCTGTATCTTCCATTGCTGAGAAACTTTAACTTAGTGTCCTAGTACACAACCATTCTCTGCCACAGCTTAGTGTCAGCTTTGAATCTGGAAATGGTCACTCCATGTACTGATCCGGTTTTGATTCGCTCAGGCGCATGGTTTAGTCTCCTCTCAGTCCAGTTTTTGAGAACGCTTTTGTGTGTGCCATTAACATTTGGAAGAGGAGTGATGCACGGCTTCATCTCTCTGTACCTGTTGTTAAAGAAGATCTCAATCTTTAACTTCTGGAGATGCAGAAGAAAAGTAAAACTCACCATGCAGAGTCAGGGTCACCAGAAGAGCAGAAACGAGGAAGCTTGAGAGTGTTTAGTCTTTGTCTACACTGCAAATGGTTAGAAGGCTTTCTCCATATGACAATTCGGTATCTTTCAGCAAACTTCTCCCAACAAAGACTTCTGAAAACATCATTTAGTTTCTCCATCTCCTTCTGCAAATCTCTCTTCTGGTTCTTGGGTTTAACCATTGATGTTACAGGTGGTCCAGACAACACCCAGTATCCATCAGGACGTAGAACACGATCTACCTCCATCAAGTAAAGCCCCTCTGGATAAATAAAAAATTCTTATTCCTTTTAGTACCAGAAGCAGGGTGAACCAACAAGGTCCAAAAACACATACACACACATACACAGATACACAAGTGTTTAGATATGAATGGTTATAAGTACATTACCATAGGCAGTCCAATTTACAAGGCACCTAGAACAATGAACCATGTCAAAAGACTTTGATGGATAAGGCAGTCTATAAGTACTTAGAACACCGAGCATTGCAGGGAGTCCACGCTCTAATGCAAACTGAATTTGAGCCTCGTGTATGTCCCTAGGTGCTATTGACATTGTCAAGATGTTATAGTTCAGCAAAAAGGCTCCAAAACTCGCTACCTGACAACACATGATTAATCAATTGTCAAGCAAGATTAAAGAGCTAACACTGCAGTCCAATATCAAGTAAATGAACTCACTCCACATCCAATATCAAGAACAGTCCTGACACTTCTAGAAGCCAATGGCAAAACTCCAAGAATAGCATTAACGTAGTCCTTTGCGCCACCGGGGAAGGAAGTTCCACCTCCGGGGAAAACAAACCGGTCTCCTTCAAGCCTAATCCAGTTCTGAGTCCTTTTGAACTCAGTCAGCTTCTTGAAGGGAACGTTCTTGAACCAAGCGTAGTCTCTACTATCAGGCCAAGGGAAAGGCCTTTTGTAGCCAGAGGGCTTTGGGACCAAACACCTGAGCTTCTCATGGGATGACTCAGGACAATGCCTCTCTCTCCTGTAGTGTCTCTCGATACTGTACTGTCGTGCCGTTGACTGGTCGTGGCAGGGCAAGTAGTTGGTGAAGTTCTTGCGACAGAGTGGGAAGTAAGATAGTGATGATGGTTGGTTTTCTGAAGGTTTTTCTGGAAGAGAGGAGTGATGGAGCATGGAAGGATCTTGTGGAGGAGAGGAGTGATGGGACATGGAAGGCTCTTGAAGCTGTGGAGGATAGTGAGTATCTTGTGAAGAAGAAGAAGAGATGGTGATGGTTATGAGAGTGGTTAGGGTGTAATAAGTTGAGAAGAATAAGACTGGAGTGAAGAAGAAGAGACGCTTAGGAGAGTACTTTGATTGTGATGGATTCATCCTTTCTGCAATCAAGTTTGAAGATTAGGGAAGACCAATTTCTTGTGAAGTTTAAGAAGTCAAAGACACTTCACACCTCGTTTCTTGAATTGGAATCTTCAACTGTGTGTTTGTCTCCATTAGTGGTTTCCAAGATGGATTTCTTTATTTGTTTTTGGTACCTGCTTTTCTCATGTGTTATATACATATAATAGTAGATACAGAGGAGAGTATTCATACATAGTTTTCCCGAATCAAGATGTTGAAGATATATTGGGTGATGTGATACCAAGAAAACCAATACTGCTTACACACACAAAAATTCACATAGGAGTGATTAGAGAAAATGTCAGACTAATACAAGCACACTACATCAGAGAGTGGATTAAACACCAACCACGCTAGATCACAGTCATACAAAAGATAGATCAACACTGTAAAGTGGAGGGGAAACAAACAGCAGCAACAACAAAAACAACGTGAAGCAAACCGCATCCATTATTTTCAGATGAGAGAAATTACACCAAAAGGAGACGAACTGATTTGATTATGTACACTTGACACACTTAATCACCGCACTCTGCATGGTGCAGGTCCACTCGGAGAACAACTTTGGCTAGGTGATGACCTGCAAATGGCACCAGGACCAACATTCTTTGCAAACCTCCTGTGCATTCTATAATCAGGAACCCCTCCCATTGCAAACGCAGCTCCACCAGGGATTAGTGAATCACCTGTACACTGCAAAGGCTCCAAAGTCTCTACCACGTCACTCATCAGTGGTCTAGCTTTGGGGTTCTGACTAAGACAATAATACGCCAAGCTGCATGCTTTCTGAGCTGCCTTGACGGAGTATTGGTTCTCCAGCCTCGGGTCGATTATTTGCAGCAGTTTTCTTTTGTCATTCAGCTTTGGCCGAGCCCAATCGACTAGGTTCTGCTCTTTTCTAGGTCTGGTCTTGTCCACTGACTTTCTTCCCGTCAACATCTCCAGAAGAACAACTCCAAAGCTGTACACATCACTTCTTGCCGTCAAGTGTCCTTGTTCATTAGTAACAAAATCAAGTCAGTGTGTAATGCTTGAGAGTCTTTAGATGCATGGTTCGACATTTTACATGCCACATACTACTACATGGTAAACAATAGCAAGCTAGTGAAAGAGAAGTAGAGGTGCACGCGAGCTCCCACATGACATCTAGTTAAGCAACTACTCTATTTTCTAAGACATATTAACAGTTTACAGTTGTTCACTGCTGCCATCACAGACCAAGTGAAAACAAGACAAGGCAGGACCAACTTCGTTAAGGGAGGAAACATGTAGCTATGCTTATGCATGTAATTACCAGTCATCACATATTCTGGGGCAGCATAGCCGTAAGTGCCCATCACTCGAGTTGACACATGTGTTTCATCACCCTGGGGGCCAGCTTTAGCCAAGCCAAAATCCGAAAGCTTGGCTGTGTAGTCCTGCGGGTTCATCAGCACAAGCATACATTTAGATGTGGAAAGGTATTTGTAGCACTGAAAGAAAAAAAAAAGAACAACTAATTACCGAGTCAAGCAGTATATTGGAAGTCTTGAAATCACGATAAATAACCGGTCTTTCAGCGTTGTGCAAGAAAGCAAGCCCCTTTGCAGCTCCAAGAGCAATCATCATCCTTTTAGACCAAGACAACGGAGCTGTTGTTTCTGAAGAGAGAGAGAGAGGCCATGATTACTAGCTTAGTTAATTATACACTACCATGATAGTAACAATAGTTCAAGAAATAGCTAGACGGTAATTAGATGTTTCATTTATGACTGATTTGCCACCTAAATAGGACTCCAAGACCGATTTTTAGGACATTGCTAATAACACATGTCTGGTTTCTCATCAGTATTGTCGACTTATATACTAGGCAAGATTATAAAGGAGCCAACGAAATGACACATCTCTAATAATCAATATTCAAGAAATCCCTACACGATAATTAGACTTTTATAGAAGATTAATGCTTAAGCCAGAGCCTAGACACATCCTAAACCGACCTTTATAAAAACTATTTAGCTTATGATGGATCTGCCGCCTAGACATGGCTTAGGCACCAATTTTCAGGACATGCCAAAGAACACATGTCTAGTTTCTATTCTGACTTATAATCTAAACAAGAATATGACATTATGAATGTTGAAGGGTGAGAGTGGTTTACTTCGAAAGAGATGATTCTCAAGGCTGCCTCTAAGCATGAACTCATAAACAAGCAAACGATGATCATCCTCACAACAGTAACCAATAAGCTTAACGAGGTTGTAATGACGCAGCTGACCAAGGAAGTTCACTTCAGTAAGCCACTCACGGTGTCCCTGAAGACCTTCCTTGTTAAGAACCTTGACAGCAACGGGCAGAGACTTGAGACCAAGGCGGAGATTGTCATCAATGTAGCCCTTGTAGACAGTTCCGAACCCTCCTTCCCCGAGGATGTAGTCGGGACGGAAGCTCTTGGTGATGGTCTCGAGCTCGAAGAGAGTGAAGGGGATGACGGAAGGAGGAGTGCGATGGGGAGATGATGGATCGCTCAGATCTGAGACGGAGCGTGAGTGTTTCTTTTGTAGCTGTTGAGCTGCGATATGAAAAGATAGATCAGAAGAAAGAGAGTGAAGTAGAGAGAGAGAGAGAGAGAGAAGGAGAGAGAGAGATATAACCTTGAGGTTGAGCTTGAGGAGTCAAGGCGGAAGCTTCGTCTCTAGTGTTGCAGTTTCCCATTGTTTAAAAAGATCGCATTTTTCGATTTCAAGATGATGTTTTTTTTTTAAAATGATTTTTGTAACCCTAATTGTAATCGGAGAAGATGACAATGAAGCTTTTCACATTTGGATTGAGGAACTGATGATACTGAAGTGAGGTTTAAATCGGATAAAAGGTTAAAAAGATTAGCGAAAAAAAAAGTTTTTTTTTTTGCTTTTTGGTGTGTGTCTGAAGTCGGGGCGATGAAACAAGAGATGATGCTGTGTTGGGGAAGGAAGAAGGAGGAGGAGATGATCACGCGCCCCCGCGAACCCTAAAACACACTCACGTGACATGCTTTTAACTTGGTTCGGTCTAGGCAGGGATGTTTTACTGGTCCAGACTCGGATTACTTTCAGTTTACTTATGCTACATTTGAATTTTAAATATGTTGGAAAGAAAATTTGAATTTCATATATGTTGCCAAAAAAGTATAGTTTGGAATCGATTATGTTAATCATACTTCAAATAAATTTTGTAACTCTATTTAAAATATATTTTGAATCCGAGTTTGATAAAATTTTAAATTTATAGATATTTTAAAGTATACTAAAATAAGCATGAAATTTAAAATACGGTTTTGGATACCAACTCAAATATTCGGAATCTGATCAGTGACGGATCTAGAAAGTGTTTTAGTTGGGGGCACAAGATGAAATTTGAAAAAATTGATCAAATTGGAGACATTTTTCGTTTTTTTGTTCATCAAAACATAGAAATTTAATCAGATTTAGTTGAATTACTTAAAGAAAATGAGAAAACAGTCAGGAGCACATGACCCCATTACATAAAACCCCTGAATCTGATATCAATTTACTTTATTTATTTTTTTAGTTTTCGAATTATTCTAATATCTCTTTGAGTTCAGATCAAATTTTGATAGTATTCAAATATATTTTAGCTGTTTTTGGATGTTTATATATTTTTGGATATACCAACTTGCAAAAGTAGGTTGTGATTAGTTTGAAGGTTGAAGATTGAATTTTCATGATTATGCTTTTTTACAAAATAAATTATTGTTAAAGCTTTGTCATAAAAAAGTTCTAAAAATATTCTAAAGCTACAAATTTCTGATTTTAATTTTAAGAAAAACTAACATAAAATGAAAATAACAAAAGAAAATAGGCTGTGACCATTTTTTAAAGAGAATTTTGAAGATTTAAAAGCTTAATAAATGTGACAGGAAAAAGAAAAGTAAGAGAATTTTTTAACACAAAGTAAGAGACTTTAGAGAAGAAGAAAAAAGGTAAAAAGCCTCTAAAGTCCAAACCAATGAAGCTTGGTGTGGATTTTGGTTCAATAACCCTACTTCGGTACAAAGTTAAGCCTTTGACGCGCGTAAACCGGACTCAGTGGAAAACTTTCTCTCGGTTCGGTTTGTCCAACCACTCTTCTTCTTCTTCTATCAATCAAATTTTTTTTTCCGAATCAAAGTTAATCCTTTTCAATGGCAACACTAAGCTTCTCCACCTCGTCCCCTCCTCGAATCCTCCACCATCAACAACCTAAACCAATCCTCTTCCCTCCAGATTTCACCTCCTCCATCAAACACGTATACACAAAACCCATCTCTGTCTCAAACCGATCTCATGGCGGCGTCATTAACGCCACCTCAGCAGCTCCCGACCCTTCTGGATACTCAAACCCATCATCTTCTCCAGCTAAGAAGCTAAGGGAGATTATGAAATCACCTGGTGTCCTTCAAGGTCCTTGCTGCTTCGATGCTCTTAGTGCCAAACTCGTCGAACGAGCTGGGTTTCCTTACTGTATCACCACTGGTAAGTGAGTGATGAATCTTCTAAACCCAACTCTTCTTGATCTTAAAGTTGAGACTTTACTGTTTTCTTTAGCTTAAAATTCAAGAAAGATGTTTTCTTGTTTTCATCTTCTATGTAAATATATATGTTGCTTTTGCTGATTACTTTCTATGCAAGTTAGGGTTCTTAACTTCAGCACAGGTCATTGCCAAGTCCATCTTAAAGTTGAATACTTTACTGTTTTCTTTAGCTAAAAGTTTAATAAAGATGTTTGCTTTTTTTTATCTTCATGTATGTATGTGTATTGCTTTTGCTGATTACTTTCTGTGCAAGTTAGGGTTCTCACTTTCAGGACTGGTTATTGCTAAGTTCATATTATAGTTGAAGACTCTAACGTTTTTAGATGTTTTTTTTTTATGTATTGCTGATTATCTTTCTATGCAAGTTAGGGTTCTCAGTTTCAGCAGCTAGGGTTGGTTTACCTGATAAAGGACTCATTTCTTATGGAGAAATGGTTGACCAAGGTCAACAGATCACTGAGTCTGTATCCATTCCGGTGATTGGAGACGGTTGCAATGGGTTTGGTAACGCCGTGAATGTTAAGAGAACAGTCAAGGGGTATATCAAAGCTGGTTTTGCTGGAATTATTATCAACGATCAGGTTTCTTGTAGTGGAGGTGAGAGAAGAGTGGTTTCTAGAGAGGAAGCAGTGATGAGAGTTAAAGCTGCGGTTGATGCGCGTAGAGAGTCTGGTTCAGACATTGTCATTGTAGCTCAGACTGGTTCTAGAGAAGTGATGTCTCTGGAGGAATCGTTTAGTAGGGCAAGAGCTTTTACAGATGCAGGAGCTGATGTTCTCTCTGTTGATTCTCTCGTGTCTAGAGAAGAGATGAAATCATTCTGTAATGTCTATCCACTAGTTCCTAAACTGGTAAGACTTCACTTTGCGCCTTGGATGACTCTAGTCTCGATATGAAAGTTACATTTGTGCGCTGTTTATGTAAGGCTAATATGGTTGAAAGTGGTGGGAAAAATCCGGTGATGAACCCGCTTGAGGTGGAAGAGATTGGATTTAAGCTAGTTGCATATCCACTTTCATTGATTGGGGTATCAATTCAAGCAATGCAGGTTAGTAAAGGTTAATAATGTGTAGCCTCATTGGTCTGGCCAAGAGATTTATAGCATGTAGAAGCATTGCAGGACGCTCTATTGGCGATAAAGAGTGGTAGGATTCCTCCACCAGGAAGCATGCCGTCTTTAGAAGAAATTGAAGAGATTCTTGGCTATGTCACATACCGTGAGGAAGAGAAGCGGTATGCTACATCCTCCTCATCAGATAGAGGTGAGAAACATCATATCTTTTGAAAATGTCAGTCAAGAAGGACTATATCTGTTTTTTTTATTTACCATTTTTAAGGATCTAGCAATAGAAGCGTATATGGTAGCCAACAAGTGACGCAAGATGAGTCAGAACAGAGAGTGGTGGATCCGGTTGTTGAGGTAATGATACCTGAGGTGGTTTCTAATGAATCAAGAAACCCCTTTTCAAGAATCTGGTCAAGGTCTCTGAGGATCAAGATCATTGGACGTGATGGCTTTGAGAAACTCGACGTCAGAATCCCGGTAGGTCTTATTACTTTGTGAATGTGTTTTCTCTGAACTTATTGATGTAAAGCAAAACGTGTCTTTATGGTTGGAGCAGGCTGGATTTTTGGAAGGTGTCACCAACATTGTCCCAGGTATGTAACGAGAGCCTATTTCATTGTCTGCTTGTTCAGTTTCAGTTACTGACGGAGCTTGAGGTTTTGTAGCTTTAGGAGGCGTGAACCTGAAGCAATTGATGGACGATGCAGCTGATGAAGTCGGAGGGAAACTTCTGTTGGACTTTAAAGATACTGCTGGTGATAGAATCCAAGTCTTTTTGGAATGAGAAAGAAAGTAAATACAGTCAAGAAACATGTAAAAAATAAAGAAAAACATATTTTATTTGTTCCGTGAATGAAAAATGTTTACACATTCAAAATACGTGAAACCCTCACAAAAAAAATAGAATATGTGTATATATCAATTTATACGCATGTAACAAAGGCAAAGAACAGTGTATGAATAATGTAACCTGAGTACTTGATTTTACAAGTGGAGAGTCTATGAGGAATGGATTTGGTTTGATCTTACCGGTATCCACCTCCATAGGATTGCTGAGGGTTGTAACCACCTTGACCCATCATCGGATTATAGTTGTTGTTGCCTGGCATGTTTGGACCAGGGACCATTCCTTGGTTTTGTTGTTGCATCGGATAGCCTTGGCCATATCCTCCTCCCATGTTCATGTTCATGCCTGGTCCCATTCCCATACCACCCATGGGTTGGTTTTGGTTCATGCCTGGTCCCATTCCCATACCCATTGGTTGATTTGGGTTCATGCCTGGTCCCATATTCATACCCATTGGTTGGTTTTGGTTCATACCACCATATCCACCATATCCACCAACACCCATACCACCACCGCCGCCCATGGGCATGCCAGAGCCTACCGCTGGATTTTGAGGAGGTCTCATAGCAGTTGCACCGGCACGACCTAGGCCAGTGCCTGATCCCATTGCCTTACCCATGTTGATAGTCGATGTTGCTGGTGGTGCGTTTGTTGGTTTCTCTAGCCGTTTCTCTCTCCTGTTGATTGCATCAAAGTCAACTCCTATGTCTGACAATGGATTTGTTTTAGCTGCACATAAATAGAAAAATGTTAGAGAAATATTGCTTAAAGCCGGAAAAAAATTATCTTTCATTCACATGTCGCACAAATATATCTTACGTCCAGATATGTTGAAGTTAACAAGCCCCCTGCTTAATGTATCTGCCCAGACTGATGATTTTGGCTCAAACTTTTTCTGAGGCGGAGGAACGATCTCAATTGCTCCTGTTATAGATGTGAGATCTGAATGGGATGACGATGACGTCACTGAGCTTGTTGGTCCAGCTTGTGTAAACATGTCTCCCATGAAATTGTTGTTCCCTTGCAGAGTAACAGGCCCGGATTGAGTTCTTTGTGGAGCATTAGATGGCGGCATTCCATGACCCTGGTGTGCCATGAACTGACCAGCTGGCCCACTAGGGTTAGAGTAAGGTGTCTGTGAGCTCGATGAAGTGGCAGCAACTGGTTGTGGATGGAAGCTTTCGCTTGTAGGGTGTGAAGTGACTACTCCAGGATTATAACCGGCTGAGCTAGGCTGGTGCATGAAGCCTCCATTGTGAAACGGTGTGGCTCCCGTCATATTTTGCGAATGAGGAACCATGTTATATTGTTGTCCAGCTTGCCCAAATGGAGTTTGTCCAGGCATGTTTGGAGCTGTAGATACCGGATAAGGGTGATATCCCTCGTACATGTTGTTTCCACTGGGAGGAAACTGAGATGTTGGTACGGAGGGACCCGACTGTTGAGGGACTGAAACTTGAGGACCGGACGGTGGGAGAATGCCAGCAAGAATATCGAAATCACTCTCAGATGTGTCAAACTGCTCTTGAGGAAAACCTGGCGAGTGTGATGGAGATTGCACATTCTGAACACCAGGTTCAGGATTGGCAACAGCCGAAAATGAATCCCCAAAGCCAAAATTAGTATCAGGATGTGAGACCTCCGAGGTGAAGGCTGGTGGTGTTGGCTGGGAAGGAGCACCAAAGTTTTGCTGCTGGTTTGAGTCGCTGTCTGTAGAAGTGAAGGCTTTGAAAGGAGATTCACCAAATGGGTCATCAAATGGCTGCATAATGGGGACGATTTTAGTCAGCAATAATCAAAATATTAGAAAGAAAACGAAGGCATCCACGAGTACAACTGGTTAAGCCTCTGTTAATACCTGAGCTGGTGGCTGAGATGTAGAAAACGATGGAGCATTTGCTTGCCCATTGGTTTCATTAGAGGACGACTCAGCCGGTACAATGGCCAATGCACTTGACGAAAATACGTCTGCAAGGGAGCCAAGCAAGTCCATCTCCACACTGCTTGAGGTGAGAGGAGCAGATGTAGAAGACCCTGCTGGAGGAGCTGAAACACTGTCCGCAGATGCATATGCTGGAGGACCAGCTGAGAAAGAAACAGAGCACAACGCTCACAGTCAGAAAGAGCAGAATGGTTTATGTGATAACAATATAAAAACCAAACTAACAATGAAAATTTATCTCTACCGAGCAGAGGAGTTTGAAAGGCAAAGAAAAACTAAAGAAAACTCCAAAGTTGTAACAAACTAGGAACATAAAGAATCGCAAACGTCAAGAACTATGTACCTGAAAACGCACCGCGTGGATCAAACTCATCAAAAGCCTCAAAATTCTGAGGAGAAGATTCATTAACAAAACCCATAGATTTATTGTCTGCGTTATTTCCAGCGGGAGGAGAAGCAGCCCCTGGAGCAGCTACTTGTTGGGAAGGGGGAGAAGCAGATTCTGAAGCAGCAGCTTGTGGGGGAGGGGGAGAACCAACTCCGGGAGCAACAGATTGTGGGGGAAGAGGAGAAGCAGCTCCTGAAGCAGCAGCTTGTGGGGTCTCCCCACCATCCCTGGCATAAAAAGATTCATCAGAACCAATGCAACCAAGGTAGCTCTGAATCTGTATAGCAGAGAATTATCACCTTTCACTATATACCGGGCTCCGTGATTCACTGACAGCTTCTTCATAACTAGGTGGAGCACCAATATTTTGTTCAGAAAACTTCCTCTGGAGCGACCCTCTATCATATAATCCCGAAAGAAGAAATTATAACATATGAGTTGACATAAGTCCACAAAACTTAATAGAATAAGAAAAAGGCCCAAACTTAGTTACCACTACCCCTACACGATAAAAATGAATGTTTAATTGTATAAGTGCAACTAGGTTAAGAAGAGGCTTGAAACATTTTTTTGACATAAGTACTGCTAGCTACTATTCACAATAAAATATTTGATCCAGTGTATATATTTAATCTCAAAACTGTTCCTTTTTTTCGATCAAGTTCAAAGGTAAGCTAAAACTTCAGATCAACATACCTTGATGAATGGCCATCATCCTCAAACGTCCGTTCCCTTTCTGAACTCCTACCTCGTGACCCATTCTCGTAGTTATCAACACTTCTGCTCCTTCCTCTGTTATCATCTTCCCTGTTACCATCTCTCCCATACCGGTCTTCAGAGTCTCTGGAGTGACGATCTCCATCACGGCTATTTTTATCATCATCCCTGTAACCATATTCCTTTTCTCTTCCATAACTACTTCGCTCTTCATCCCGGGATCCATAATCATATTTGTCCCCATATCCTCCTGAAGGCTTATACATCCCACCTGGAGCTGAGCTGCGATACCTGTTGTGGAAAAAAAAATGTCAGGTTAATATGTTCAGCTCCTGTAGCATATTTTTACACTACAAATTTATAGACTACTTGGAGGCATAACAACAATTGTGTGGCCAATAGCAACCAGAAATCGAACAGTGTTCAGCGAGGCTAACACAGAAGAATCTAGAAACAAAGATACAATTACAAGCAAACTTACTTATCTCTGTTGGCATTAGCCTTCTCTCTGACCTCAGCTATTCTCTCTTTGTCATTAACCAACGCCACCAAGCTCTGTGATTTCTTCCTCACATTGCTTCCTTGATCTCTACCACTGGAATCAATATACTGGAAATCGGACAATGTCTGCCACATGGAAAATGAACATAACGTAAGATAAGATATAGCACGAAAGGAATCTTTTGACGCTAAATACTTGTAATAAAATGTACTCAGAGTGGTTATTACCGAAATTTGATATGCACGCTCTCTAATATCTTCTATAACACGCTCTGACCCATGGCCTACCATGTACTCCAAAACTGTCAAACCCTGAAATGGATAGAAGAGAAACACCAAACACAAACTCGTTTCATTCACTGCTAGAGCAATACAAAAAGTAAATAAGCCACCAAGATATTTATTTTTGTTACCTTATAGACATGTCTCCAGTTCTTCCCAGTGTCGCCAAGTCGTTTCCATACGACCCCCATGATCAGCTGGTATTCATGGCTGCAAGAGAAAGTAACCATTTCTGCTATTACAGTGCACAATATCATCATTACATCAAAAAACAGAGGAGCTAGTAGTAGTTACTAATTTCTCGAAGCGTGCGCAATATCAGCAAGAAGAGAACCATGAGGACCCCATGGCTCATTGCTAGTAGCATCTAGAACCTGAAGAGGAAAAAAAACAGAGGTGAGCAAACAACATAAAACTATGTTGTATATATCCGCTTTAAATTCGTAATCTATTTAATTTTTAGCCTTTAGCTAAACTCAACCAAAAGAGATCAGAAAAAAACAAAAAACAGAAAAGAAGTAAAAAGAGTATCCTTTACATTTTGTTCAATTCCAGGCACTTTGAGCACTTTTTTGTTGACCTCTCTCTTGCTATTAGCAAAAAAAAACAGCAGATATGATCAAACATAGTTAATGAAAAAAAAAAAAGATATAATTCAACTTGAGGCGTTGTAAAAAATACTCACAGGTCTCTCACAGTTTGACCGAAGACTTTCTTCATCTTCGTATGTGTTAAACACGCCCCTCTGCCAAAGTCTGTTGCAAAACTTTAATAAATAAAATGATGAATTCAAATACTAATCACAATCCGTAATCAATCAGCAAACATACAATCAAATCATATAATCGAGGAACACGGGACACAAAATCAATCAGCCAAAAACGATATGAATAAAAAATCAATCGCTTCTTTCCTTCAGATTCAACCTTATTATTTCTCAACGGATCTTAAGCAAAACTATAGAGAAAAGAGAGATCAACGAGAAATCGAAAGAGCTGGATCGTACCTTCCGAAATGTAACGAAATCGGAGCGCGGATCTGCAGAGGAAGAAGACGAAACGTCAATGTAGAGAGAGATTGAGCAAAGACGTGTGGAGCTTATGATCTCTCTCCCTCTCTATCCTTCCTGCGTTTTAGATTCAATCGGATCCTTAGAGAGGAAGAGGAAGAGGAAGCAGCAGCCAGAAGGGGAATATTCAATAGATTAATAAAGAAATCAAAATTAAGGTAAAAATAATAATAATTAAGACAGCGTAGCGCATCTAACACGCAGAATATTAAGGAGAGGCCTCCCAAAATCACTCACCTCTTTTCTTCTTTCATTTTCCTATTATTTAATTGATTGATGATTATAACAATATGATTATTATTAGTACATTCGTCTTACCAGTTACCACGTTCTATATTTGAATTTCTTGGAGATGAAACTAACACCGAAATGTACATTCACATAGCCTCATATTCAATTTTCTAAATATAAAAAAATATATATATACTACTATTTTTTATTTAATTATTATATTGTTATAATCAAGGAAAAATGTTGGTTATTTTATTTGAATATATACACCGAAATATAAATAAATGATATTTATCGGTTTCAAACTAATATAATTTCAGCTAATATTACATATTAAAAATAAATTAAATTTTGACTATATATGTATGATTTATGTAATTCATATTTTAACACCTTTAAACTAACATTGATAAAATAAATTTTAGTACTTTTAAGCTTATTAATTCTTAGTACTAGTTATAGATATATGGAAATTTTTATTTTTCGCTTTTTTAAACAATTTTAAATTAATATCTATTGGAGAACAAATGAGTAATTAATTATCAAAGAATCATAATTCCTATGAAAAGAAAAAATGGCGCCACCAATCATACATAGCCAGACATGCCCCAGTCTGGTTTTTTCATCTTCTCGCTTTGGAGGCTCAAAAATAAGGGATCAGTTAGGTAAGCTTCCTTCCATGCTATTGGGGTCTACTAATCTCCCATCTTTTTAGTTTATCTTGCTCTATATATTTCATGTACCCATTATTGTACAATCTTTGTTCCAAGTGTTATAAAAAAAAAAAAAAAAAAATGAAGGTGACAACTGACAAGAAAACGCAAATACTCACAAGTTAATGGGCCTCAAATCTGGTATTTATATCCCAAAGCCCAAATTACAACCCCTAATTTTGAGTCTTGTAGAATAACCAGGTTTTCAACATTATGCCTCTCGTTTTATAGTCCCGGTTTGGTTCGTTATTTTGGGTTCAACTAAACAAAACTATCGTTAGGAACTTAGATAGGAAATTCAAAAAAAAAAATCAGATTAATTATCTACTGGAATGTACTTCAAGTTTATTTTTAATCTTTTTTCAATCCGGTGTTTTTCGCAATTAGTATTTGCTTAATAGTCAAATATAGAAAAAGCAGGTCGAAATTAGTTGAACGAAAGTGATTCTCTTACTAACTACACAACACAATTAATTAATAAGCCAATAAGATCGCAAAAATGTTGTTGCTTCCACTTTCCAGCGTTTGAAGCAAACGATAACTTTCTTCATGTACGAATAGATAGCAAGTAACGATGTGTGGCCAACTCAATAGAATGTCTTCTGACTTTTGTCTTTCAAAGTATGTTTTCAAAAAAACAGAAACGTATAACTGAATCGAACTATCTTAAGAAAGAAGAAACTGAACGTTTTTTTATTTGCTAACAACTCTCATTACATTAAAGAAAAATACATATATATATATATAGAATGTATGCACACAACCAATAAATAACGAAACCCATTTCTTTCACTTAACAACAAAAGGGAACGAAAAGAGACTGATACGATCTAAAGGGGTCTTGGAAACCGTTTGACTTGATGAAGACGCAAAGATGATGATGCACAAGTGGAAGATGAGCGACATTGACGAAGAGGAAGCGATGTGGACCGTTGTTATAGATGTATTGTTTCTTGTTTCCACGGGACGATCCTTATTTGATTCACTTCTTCTCTTTGACTTTGACCCTTCCTTTATTTCATTTTTAAAAAGAAAACCTGTGAAGACGAAACTGAGATGTTGAGACAAAGTTCTATCGAAATGGATATGGAGCATATTCAAAGTGTTGGAGCGTTGGGACTTACTTGAATAATGGGGAAATTTGGTTGAATTTGATGAGCTTAGTAATGGGTGGGAGGTGGAGGAGAGGCGTAGATGTACACTGGAGGTGGAGGAGATTTTACTGGTGGTGGTGGAGAGTTGTAATGGTATGGTGGTGGTGGAGACTTCACAGGAGGAGGAGGAGAGGTGTAATGGTATGGTGGTGGTGGAGATTTTACCGGAGGAGGAGGAGAGGTGTAATGGTATGGTGGTGGTGGAGACTTCACCGGAGGAGGAGGAGAGGTGTAATGGTATGGTGGTGGTGGAGATTTTACCGGAGGAGGAGGAGAGGTGTAATGGTATGGTGGTGGTGGAGACTTCACCGGAGGAGGTGGAGAGGTGTAATGGTATGGTGGTGGTGGAGACTTCACCGGAGGAGGAGGAGAGGTGTAATGGTATGGTGGTGGTGGAGATTTTACTGGAGGAGGAGGAGAGGTGTAATGGTATGGTGGTGGTGGAGACTTCACCGGAGGAGGTGGTGAATGGTAGTAATATGGCGGAGGAGGAGATTTGACTGGAGGAGGTGGTGAATGGTAATAGTATGGTGGTGGAGGAGATTTGACCGGTGGGGGTGGTGAATGGTAATAGTATGGGGGTGGTGGCGATTTCACCGGTGGAGGTGGTGAGTGGTAGTAATAGGGTGGTGGAGGAGATTTGACTGGTGGGGGTGGTGAGTGGTAGTAGTAAGGTGGTGGAGGAGATTTGACCGGTGGGGGTGGTGAGTGGTAGTAGTAAGGTGGTGGAGGAGATTTGACCGGTGGGGGTGGTGAGTGGTAGTAGTAAGGTGGAGGAGGAGACTTCACTGGAGGAGGTGGGGACTTGTAGTAGTATGGTGGAGGAGGAGATTTGACGGGTGGAGGTGGTGAGTGGTAGTAGTAAGGAGGAGGAGGAGACTTCACTGGAGGAGGTGGAGAGTGGTAGTAGTATGGAGGAGGAGGAGACTTCACCGGAGGAGGTGGGGAGTGGTAGTAGTAAGGAGGAGGAGGAGACTTCACTGGAGGAGGTGGGGAGTGGTAGTAGTAAGGAGGAGGAGGAGATTTCACCGGAGGGGGTGGTGAATGGTAATAATATGGAGGTGGAGGAGATTTAACTGGTGGTGGTGGAGAATGGTAGTAGTATGGTGTAGGAGTGTGTGTTGGCGGGGGAGGCGATTTGTAGACGTAGGCCGGAGTAGGAGGAGGCGGTGATTTGTAAACATAGGTAGGAGTTGGTGGTGGAGGCGACTTGTAGACATAAGTAGGGGTCGGTGGAGGTGGAGACTTATAAACATACGTTGGAGTAGGCGGTGGTGGTGACTTGTAGACATATGTTGGGGTTGGAGGAGGAGGCGATTTGTATACGTATGTTGGGGTTGGAGGAGGAGGCGATTTGTAGACATACGTAGGGGTCGGTGGAGGTGGAGACTTATAAACATATGTTGGAGTAGGAGGAGGCGGTGATTTGTAAACATAGGTTGGAGTTGGTGGTGGAGGCGACTTGTAGACATAAGTAGGGGTCGGTGGAGGTGGAGACTTATAAACATACGTTGGAGTAGGCGGTGGTGGTGACTTGTAGACATATGTTGGGGTTGGAGGAGGAGGCGATTTGTATACGTATGTTGGGGTTGGAGGAGGAGGCGATTTGTAGACATATGTTGGGGTTGGAGGAGGAGGCGATTTGTATACGTATGTTGGGGTTGGTGGTGGAGGAGACTTGTAGTAGTAAACCGGAGAAGGTGGTGGTGGAGACTTGTAGTAGTAAGGAGGATGGTAAGGAGCCGGCTTGTGGCATTCTCCGTAAGGTTTCTTAGGTGCATAAGCAAAGGACTTAGCATAAAGCACAACCTCGTACTTTGTCTTTGATTTCACATGGAGTTTAGCACCTTTGTTACCCAAATGGTAACTTGTAGGAATGTTACACGGTGATCCCTTAGGCGGCGCGTGGAGCTTGGCCGTGCAGACTTCCCCCCCGTATTTAAGGTAGTTGTATCCCTTAACGGTGATTGCGTATTTACCGTTGATTTTGGTCTTTCCATATGCCTTCACTGTCTTGTCACCGGCCTTACAAGTCACTTCCACAACAGCACCTATATGACAAACAAAAAGAACAGATTGTTTAAATTTTAATTATTATTCTAGGTCCAAATTATTGCTATCTACGAAATCGATATTGCTTGTTTTATATCTCTTTGGATTGTTTGCTTTAGTCAATAACAGATTTTTGTTTTTTCTTGACTTAATCGTTTTCTTTTCTCCACAATAAATAATGCAAGCTTGCAACTACCACTTTAAATCAATAAGCCTATAATCATTCTATAATCATCAAGATAACATTTTCTGTAATAATTTATAAGATTAAAACATTAGTTATTTAAACACGTGGAAGACTTAATTACCTTTGAGATGCTTCTTATCGTGGGACTTTTTGGGGTAAGTCCAGTCGTAACATCTGTAACAATACACTTTACCAACAACTTTGAAGACAAGTGGATGTGGCTGTGGGTGAGGATGAGGGTATGACACCGGAGGTGGTGGCGATGAGTAGTAGTACGGTGGCGAGTACGACTTTGGTGGTGGTGGTGGAGATGAGTAGTAGTATGGTGGAGGGTAAGACTTTGGTGGTGGTGGGGATGAGTAATAGTAAGGTGGGGGTGGTGATTTCACTGGTGGAGGTGGTGAGTGGTAGTAGTATGGAGGTGGAGGAGACTTAACCGGTGGTGGTGGGGATGAGTAATAGTAAGGTGGGGGTGGTGATTTCACTGGAGGAGGTGGTGAGTGGTAGTAGTAAGGTGGTGGTGGAGATTTGACCGGAGGAGGAGGAGAGTGGTAGTAGTACGGTGGTGGTGGGGATTTGACCGGAGGAGGAGGAGAGTGGTAGTAGTACGGTGGTGGTGGAGACTTGACTGGAGGAGGAGGAGAGTGGTAGTAGTACGGTGGTGGTGGAGACTTCACCGGGGGAGGAGGAGAGTGGTAGTAGTATGGTGGTGGTGGAGACTTCACCGGGGGAGGAGGGGAGTGGTAGTAGTATGGTGGTGGAGGGGACTTGACCGGAGGAGGAGGAGAATGGTAGTAGTAAGGTGGAGGTGGAGATTTGACCGGAGGAGGAGGAGAGTGATAGTAGTATGGTGGTGGAGGAGACTTCACCGGAGGAGGTGGTGAATGATAGTAGTAAGGTGGTGGTGGAGATTTAACCGGTGGTGGTGGAGAATGGTAATAATATGGTGGTGGAGGAGACTTCACTGGAGGAGGTGGTGAGTGATAGTAGTATGGTGGTGGAGGAGATTTCACTGGAGGAGGTGGAGAATGATAATAGTAAGGAGGAGGAGGAGATTTCACCGGAGGTGGTGGAGAGTGGTAATAATACGGTGGTGGTGGAGACTTCACTGGTGGAGGAGGAGAGTGATAGTAATACGGTGGTGGAGGAGACTTCACTGGTGGAGGAGGAGAGTTGTATACATAAGGAGGGGGAGGAGACTTCACGGGTGGTGGTGGAGAGTGGTAGTAATAAGGTGGTGGAGGAGACTTAACGGGAGGTGGAGGAGAATGGTATACATAAGGAGGAGGAGGGGATTTCACCGGAGGGGGAGGAGATTTGTATTCATAAGGAGGTGGAGGAGACTTAACCGGAGGCGGTGGAGATTTATACTCATAAGGTGGTGGAGGAGAGCTATAATAGTAAGGTTCGGTAGCTATTGCCGAGCCAACGAGTAAAGCCAACATGGCTACTACCCATTGACCCCTGGCATGACTCCATGCAGGAGTCGCCATTGTTTAGATCACCGGATAATTTTCACCGGCAGCTAAGGCCTTTTGTGTCCAAATTATTAAAGGAAGAAAAACTTGGAAAAAATGGTTTGTGTTTTGAAGAAGATGAAGAAGAAGTGATTGATTGTAATTCTGCATGGAAAAGAGTTGTTTTTATAGTGGACAAACTAGTCGTTTGAGGTGGCCTTTGTTCATAAGGGACCGATTCAATACCTACGTTTTTTTCTCGTAATTGTTTAGTTATTTTAAATTTCGTTATTAGCTGGCAATTATTGGTTTTGTTATTATTTATAATCAAAAATTAAAATAATTTGGAATTTTCCACGGTCTAGAAAACTAATCTTCAACCACTCGATTGAAATAAGCAAAATACTAATTGACAGTTGTAATATTAACCAGACATTCTTTAAAATATATGCTACTATTTGGTTGCTTGTTAAGCTATGTTAATCACAATGACACATACCTAATAGTATAATTTATTTTCTACCGACATTCTGTAAATGTTGTCATGTAAATTTTACTTTGTCAAAAGAAAGCTACAAAGTATCTACCGATCACTTTTTCAAAAAAAAGAAGAGTACATTGGTTGCATATTTACATTATAAAAAGCTCTAACGTTCTTATATATTTTTCAGTCATATAAATGGAAGTTATATTAATACAGTATACATTAACAAAAAAAGTTTAATGCAACTGAAAACACACCATTAACAAAAATTAATGCTAATAATAATCACACCATTAACAAAAACTTATGCTACTAAAGACGCAACATTTATAGAAGGTATTTAAAACGTTACCAAGCAAAAATAAAATTATAGAAAAGGATGATTTTAATTAAACTAAAGTCAAATTATGTCCTAAAATGGCTGACATAAGAACCCTTCGCCATCGATAGGAAGACAGCTGGTGTTGAAGAGAAAACCGAGTTATGATACCAAGTTCAATAAACTAGACTACTATAATTAACAACAAAACGACTTTAATTAATTTGTGACATATAAGACTCTGATTTAATATATGCTAGGTTGCGTATTGTGACTCGGTGTATAAAACCGCGTCGTCTAGCTTCACACTTCTCGACTGCAATAAGCAATACTCCAATCTGATCGTAACAAATATCACTCATACTATGCATGCCACATTCATTTTATTTGATTCGACCGCACTGATGAAACTACTATACTGTTTATTCTACTCCATTTTACCCATATTCTTCATATCTTCTTTCATTTGAATCTTATCAGAATTTTCTACGTCGTCTACATCAAAACTTGGACGATGTCTCCTCTTTTTTTTTTTTTTTTCTTTAATTCCATATTTTTATTTCTTTTGAAAGTCTATGTATACTATACAGTATGTACAGTATAATATATCCATTATGTGTACATATCGATTTATAAGCATAGGCTGCATGTGAAATCTCAATTATGAGAAATATAGCATGTGGGATCAACCTGCCATTTTTCCTGGTCGTGCGGTTGGAGTGCTAACACGAGACTAAACATGGGTATATGCGATAAACAAAATAATATGAACCTTTTTACTCATCGCGGTTAATGATACATTATAAGCCACAGCTAAGTTAATGGCATTATTGCGCATCGCGGTTAACTACATGAACTAGTGAATAACCAACACAAATAAATATGTATATTTTATATAATATAGATAAAATTGTAACTGGTAGTTCGAATTTAACAAATAATTTTGTCTATTGGTTAAGAGTTTGAGTCTTTCTAAAGTAAGTTAACCCATCTATGAACGCTTTAAGTAGCTAAAACTCCAGATGTCCAAATGATTAAGAGATGAGTATAAATCCCAGTTAAAAGTTATTATTATTTTTGGAATAATGAAGTAACACAGAAAAACACATATTTCTATATAAATAAGCTAAGAAAAAACAGGTAGTTCAAAAAAAAAAAGCTAAGAAAAAACAGATGTAAAAATAAACATAAAGGGGCGGTAATTACGAAATTGCAATCATAAAGGTAGGTTTAATTTTTTGTTTGCAAATTATGAGATGTATTACAGAAGATTTATAAAGAATTATGTATGATTGCACTATTTTGATCCATAGCATGAGATCCATGTTGGATAGTCCTACTTGTACCTTGCTGCTTTCTTATTTTTATTAACTCATAAAATTTGTATTTTCTGAGATGAGAAATTTTAATTATTGGTATATAAATATTAATATTTTTTTAGTTAAATCACTAGACTAATGGAATTTTACAAACCATACTAACTTGAAACACCATCTTTTGGACCCATATCTTGGACATACCATTTTAAACTTGTGTTTTCAAACTTTCTCACATACTTTCTCCCTACAAAAAAATATATATATATACATATATACGCTGGAAAATTTCTAAAGAAAAAGACTATAGACTGGTCAATTATTTAGAGCTCATATAGTAAGCTCAAATAGTGATTTTATATATCGGACCGCAGCCGGTCTATAATAATGTTTTATTTTGTGAACAAATTACAGTATTGATTTCTTCTATTTGCAGAAGTGTGATATTTCAAGAATTTTAACAACAACAATTATTAAAGTTGAAGAGTGGTTAGAACTTTCAAAGAATTAGCAATAAAGCACATGGCGAATAAACGCTTCTTTTCCCAAAAGATAAATAATGATACACCAAGGATTACCATAATCTAGTCTAGACCAAAAATAAAATTCAAAACTTGTTTTACGATTAAGTGTTTAAATCAGTTCTATGAACTTATAATTGCTCACATGTATCAGTCAATTAATGTTAATGTAAAATAGTAAATACAACGAACTTTATAGTAAAATATATAATGAATATCTCGTTTAAAAAGATTCGTTGGTAGCCTTAGTCGTCACCGGTAAGTTTACGGTCACATCAGAGAAAAAATTAGTGTTGGAAATTTGATACCATGATAATATTATTAACTATTGTATTTAACATTTATGTTTGCTTTGTAATTTTATTGGCTAGTTAGTTACCCCATAGCAACGGCCAAACTCTAAATCTATAATGCCACAGAGCCGGCCCTGAATCATATTAAGTGAAATATTCATATACGTTTCCAAATTTTTTGAAAAAAAAACAAAATGTACATAATCCGAAAAAAATATTTTAAACTCAAAAAATTATTTTTACATAAAAATGGCAATAGACTTCCATAATCTCGTCCCTTCGGGGACATCCGATAAAAGACTTCCATAATCTCAAAGCCGGTCTTGATATTGGTATTAATATATTCCCGGTAGTTTTTAATAAGATTAACTTCCCTCTAGCAATTAGGACCACTTAACACTTTAAATTGTTCGCTAGTTTAGTTACCTTATAGTAAGGGCCAAACTCTAAATCTATATTGGTATTAATATTAGAGTATTACTACCCTGTAGTTTTTAATAAGATTAACTTCCCTATAGCAACTAGGACCAATTAACACTTTAAATTGTTCTAAGATTCTCTAGTCATTAGTCAATGGCGTGCCACGAAAGAACTTCATAGTGAAGTATTGTTTTAAAGTATTTTTGGGATGGAGTAATGTTTATTTAGTATTTTCTTGCAACAACCCTATTTTGTTAAAGTCAATTTAACTAGTTCAGTTTTATGGAAGACAGAAGATGTATATTAAAGACAAGAGTTTTGCAGACAGAAGATGTATATTAAAGACACGAGTTGCAAAACTCTTCAATATTAGTAGCTCACACTCAAAATGTATGCCTGTTTTAACTAAACAATGGTCATTATTCAAACAATATTCGGTCATCATCTTATTCTTTGTTTTTAGTAGCTAAACTTTTCTTTTACTTGTCAATAAATTTGACATCACCAAAAAGGAACTAATGATATTAAAAATGATGTCTACAATTATTTCCTGCACTGCATCGAAGTCAGTATATACTGAGGCCGACTTATTATTGCACCCCTATTCGGTCATTATCTTTCTTTTTGTTTCCTTAATGAATTTTTTTCCGGTCATCATCTTCTGGTAAATGAATTCTTCTTTACTTAAATGAAATTTTCTGTACTTTAGAAGAAATATTATTTACGTAACAATAATATTTACACTACCAAAAGATAATGAGTGTGATTGAGAAATACTCTGAAGTAACTGGGAGGAAAATAGAAAAGGTGAAAATAAGAGAACAAGAAAAAAATGAGAGAAAGAATAAATATATATAGGAGGGTCTATTCAATCAATAATTTAAAGTGATTTGATTTGTAATGAATTCTTAGTTGATTTTATTAATAGTAGAATTTAATATGATTTTTATTAAAACAGTATAAATTCTCATTTAAAACTATGACAATTTAGGCTTTTTTAAAACCAAAACATTATAGCAAACACTATAAAATCACTAAAAACCTTTTTAAAAAATCACAAGTTTTTAGAATGAAATGTCAAGTTTAATATCAGTGAATTTTAAACAAATTTTAAAAGTTTATGTTCGATAACAGTAAATTTATTATTTTAATACAAATCACCTCAAATTCTTAGATGAATGCACCTATTTTGATTGATTTAGAATAAATGTGTTTGTGTATTATACATTTAACAGTAATTAGAAGGTATGAGAAAAGTTTGATATGATAAAATTTCAGAATAAATAAGAGTAATTAATTTTTCTCCTTGAATATTTACTTTAAATGTGGCATATAGTCAAAGCCGTTAATAATAAGAAAGGGAAATGTTTAGATGAAAAATAATTATCATAACAGAAACATGAATATAATATGATTGATTCAAGGACGAAAACTACAATCAAAAGACTCAAAACCCCTAACGACAAAAGAATTGTTATAAAATAAAATAAAACTAAGTAAACACCACATGTATCGTAATATTCTCCTGTCGTAAATCACGGTTTCAATTTATATAAAGATAAAACTATCTTATTCATATGTCAAATAGTGTTTAATATTCTTTTTCAAAGCAATGATTAGCTTTAGTTTCTTATTTCAAATGACTGAACAAGTCACTATATAATAATGATGATCATTATAAGA